TTAGGTCAACAATTTATTAAATTGAAAATAGGAAAAGGAATAGTGTCTACTGAAATAGGAGAAGTAATGATGGAGAGTGGGTGATAGACTTGCTATGAATTATTATTTTTTCTATTATTAATCAGAAGCAATAACAGTGATGATAAATCTGACATTTTTATATTTTTTTTTAATATACAGAGAGCAAAGGACAGAGGCTGCACTGTAGGGATGTGTATGATGGCAGCATCAGGCCTGGCATTAATTAGAAAAGATGGTGATGATGGTATCGGAAGTACTATTTAGTATAATTATTATTAAAGAAAAAAAAGGTAAACAATTGTAGTAGTTGTGATGATATTATCATCATTAATACTACACCACCACCAAGACATAAAAAAAAAAAAAAAAAAAACACTTTTCTACACACACAAAGATGACAGGAACTGATGTTAAATTAAAACTTGATTATATACTGGGGTTTTTTTCTCCTCAGGTCAAATTGAAAGATTTTAACACACACACCCCCATTTATAAATCCTCTAAAGCTACTCTGATTTTTCATCATAAACAAACAAAATCTATGCAACCAAAAATATAAATTGTTCTAAGAGGAAGAAAAAAAGCCATTGCACTGGCACCAACTCAGTTTTGGGCATTGCCATGGACAATTCAGTCAGGCAGAAAAACCAAAGTCTGTGGGTTTATATACAATCTATATCTTACTGCTGGCTTTCAACCCTTCTCCAGATAGATAACTAACTTCAGAGGCTAAGACATCAGCAAATGACTGTGTGTGTGTGTGTGTGTGTGTGTAGAGGGTATTGGTTTAATTTAATGCCTCCTGCTTCCTTTCTTGTCTTCTTTCTCTCTCTCTTTTTTCCTTTTCATTTTTTGAATGTTTAAATTTTAGTTCCTATATATTCCTTCACACTTCTGAATTGACAATGCCAATATAGGTCTTCTTGTTGGTTGAAATAGCTATTTGAATGAGGTAAATTTGGATTTCTATTCTATGTAATATATATATATATATATATATATATATATGCGCACACAGAAGCATAAGAAATGTATATATAGATATTTATATGAAAATAATATAGAATTAATTAAATTGGATATTTTAATATAAATTTATATATCTCATGTTCACCCAATATTTGCTGACATCATATATATATATATATATATATGCATGATGGAGTGATGGATAGCAGCTCAGATTGAGGAATTAGAGAGCTAACTTTGAATTTCAATCATGTTCATTACATTCACTTATGTGCTAATATTCTTGGAAAGGTATGAATCCATCTTTTCTATCCCCAATTACAGGTAAATAGCAGGACAGACTGGGTCCTGTAGTCTTGGGTAGCAAACAGTCTAGAAGGACAACTGAATTAAAAACCTGCAGAGGCCCATTTGGGGATCTTGTGGCATACTATGTTCCAGTTTTCTGCATTTGGCTCTTTCAAGAAGTGTAATAGGTTCTGCAAAAACCTTCACTACTATAATAAAAATAATATGTGTCAGTAGTCTGTCTGTTGGTTCTGAGAAGTGTGCTGCTTGATCCTCATACATCAAAAATGACAGGAGAGTCCAGTTTATATATACACATAACAAACACAAATGCAAATTTTTGTGAGGATGCCCTGATAAAAATAGTTAAATCCTTCTTTTTTTAATTATGATATTGGTGTACATCTGCCATGATGTTCCAATAAAAATACTTTTGCCACAAATTTATGTGTGAAAACATTGCTTTAATTTTTTACTTAAAAAAAAAAAAAAAGTCCTCTATCAACATCCAAAGCAATCCATCAGACAAAAATATACTTTAATTTTTTATTATTACTATTACATGTTTCTTTACAAATAGATAAGATGTAGGTTTTTATTCTAGACATAAAGAAACTATCTATTGTAATTTAATTACACACAAGTATGCCATTAATATTTTAAAAACAAACAAAATTCTATATAAAAATTTAAAAAAATTTGAAGTCCTCCTAAAAGTTATTTAAACCTTGATTCACTAGACATTTATTTTTCTTCCGAAAAACAACTCCTAAGTAAACTCTCCTCTGATAAATTCAAACAAACCAACCATATATACAGGGTGTGGGGGGGAATGGTGATATATGCCGTGTACATTTATGCATATACAGCTTAGCACTTATCTTTCAGTCAGTTATGTGCCATGTGTGATACACGCTTAGGCGATCATGTATCTATCGATACATGACTGATGACAGATTTTTTTCACAGTAGGTTGCACAGTGGAGTAATGGATAGCAGGTCGGATTGAGGAATCGGAGAGCTGAGTTCAAATTCCCGTTGAATCCATTACATTCACTTACATGCTAACACCCTTGGGAAAGGTATGAATCCTCTTCTCCCCCCAGCTATGGATAAATAGCAGGACAGACTGGGTTCTATAGCCTTGGATGGCAACTGGTCTACTGAAATTACCTTTAGTGACTTATAAATTTAAACAACATGTATAGGCCAAAAAAAAAAAAAAAAAAAAACAGGTCAGGAAAGAATGGATATCTGGGTTTTGATGAAGTTTTGTAATGAATAAAAAGTTAAAATCTGTTTTTAAAAACTATCTTTAGGCTATGAAGAGGTGTTCATTTAATTGATATTTCTGCATCAGAATTGTGGCTCAACAGCAAACAGAGCAACCAAGTTCTAAAATTATTTTATTAGTGCATCAAAAAGTATTCTCTGAAAACTGCAAAACTGTAGAAGTCATGGAAATATCCTCCCTCAACAAAACAAAATTAATACAAGAGCTCCTCATTATACAATGGGAAAAGCAATCACAGGTGAATGTAAATGTTTCTAGCAATCTTTAACAAAATCTTTTATTCCTATGAATTATTCAATTATCAAAATATTTTTCTGGCTTCATGTCAGCTTACAAAGTAAATTGTGTATTTTTATCTCCTCAAAGAACAATTCTGATCTTGTTTTGATGAATTCTTTCATGAATTTCTGATACCTTGAAATTATAAGGAAAATTGTTGCAGGGAGTTATAACTTGGTGACAGATTTGAAAAATATGGTGCATATATTAAAACCTCTTATTCAACCTCCATGATGATTTGCTGAATCTCATTTACAACTTAATGTTATCTTGCTAGCCAAAATAAATAAATTTAAAAAAAATTAAAATTTTGTTTTCTCTTTTAACCTATCATTCAAACAAGTCAATTGCTTCCTCCAATGTTGTATAGTAACAGTAGCATTGTTGGACAAAGTAGACATTGGACATATTCACCTAAAGGAAATTAGAGAATAGACCATCTGGAGAAAAAAAAACATTGAATATTAGCAACTCAAAATCTCAGATAATGATTAATTGATTTGTTTGTTTTCTATGGTCTATCAACCCTTTACAGGTTATTTAAAACCAGAAAATATTTTTAGATTGTAAGAAATTTTTTGGGGTGGGTAGCAGATAATACTTTTGTGTTACAATTATTACTAATGAACCCATAGCTGGTGGGAGACAAGATGGATTTATACTTTTTAAAACCTCAGATAAGAACTATTACACTTGTCTCTTGTAAAAAAAAAAATGGCCAAAAATGTTTTGCTTCAGTACTATATGGTTGAGAGAGATAGAGAATGATGAATATAAAAGAACATCTGATGATTTATAGGGTTCTCTCTTTAGGTTTCTATCAAATCTGTAAAAACCAACTGGTTCAATTTTGATGGTAACCTGAAAAAGAGAACCCTATAAATCATTTCTAACAGCAGAAACAACAGAATAGCTTAGAACAAACTGAAATAGTTCTGCCTGCTTGCTTCAATCTAAGAGCAAAAGATATTCATTTTGGCTGAAATGAGCCAAAGCATTTGTGATAAGTAACTACTCCAATCACAAGTGGGATGAAAGGACCAAATGTAAAAATAAAGAAATTTGAAAAAAAATAAATAAAAAAATACAAAAATCAAGTGAATAAATATCAAGCTCTCCCAAATAATATGAAAAGATGAAAACATTAGCAGAAATTATATCAACAGAGGTGCAAGACTATTGAACTCATTCTTAATGTTGCTTTTACAGTTGCCACTACAAGATAAGACTCAGTCCCAAATGTTGCTAAAATGGACTTTAGTTCATAACCCGGGTGCATTAATGAGTTGAGAAACTCCTAGCCATGAGGTGTAGATTCACACTTCAATTTCAGTGGCTGCCTCCAACAGGTAAACACATACTCAACCCAGCTGCACCTCAGATGTACATGTGTAGGAAAAACTGTATGGCATGTAGATATATAAACACCCATCCAAGAAGGAAGAACAAGACAATCTTTCACATCCCTATGAAAATGTGTAGCCCACATTCAAAAAGGGTCTGCTCCCCACAGATACAAGTTAAACAGTAGGATTTGTATCTGGGGAAAAAAAAAAAAAAAAAATCATTCTTTTCTAAAAAATATTTAAATTTTCACTAGTTAAAAAAAAAAAATTATTACAATCCAAAATGTTTTGATTTTGAATTATGCACAAAGGGTTAAGTGGTAAAAAAAAAAAAAAAAAAAAATGAATAAATTCAGAGAAGACCCTGCAGACACTAACACTTCTTGGGTGGGTGTTTATATATCTACATGCCACTCACCAATAGCAGTTGATAAAAGTCTGGAGTTGAATAAATAATGTACTGTACTTAGTCACATGTTCTCATTAGCCTGCATACAAAAATGTTATACCACAACATTTCATCCAAATGACCATTTTTTTTCTTGAAGAAAAGAGACTCCACTCTTTATTTAGAGATCATACCCTACAAGAAGGCTGCAAAATTGTGATAACAACAAGAACAACATCAGTTCAGTAGTCTGAGCAACTTTTAAAATAAGAATGATAACTCAAAATTATAGACAGAAAAATATCTTACATTAAAATACATTAAAATTTGAAAGAAATGTTTTACAACAAAGTGTTACTCAAAATTTGGTTGTTTTTAAGTGAAAGTAATTCTTAGATGACTTAAGAACACTTACCCTAATTTGCAAGTAAGGATAAAATCATTCCAACCATCATTATTGAAATCTCCAACAACAAGTGGAGCAGTAGGGTGACAAGGCAACGTGTGAGAAGCAAGCAGGGTTCCTTCCTTGAGATCCAGAAGTACCAACTTTCTCCAACCAGCCAAGATTAAAGCATCCTGGCAGAAAACACAAAAAAGGTAAATAATTTCTTTAAAAAAAGAAAAAAAAAACACAAACAAACAAACAAATGCTATCAATAATTTATTTCCCAATGGATATGCAACTCAGATTTATTAGATCATTATCTTTAAAAAAATAAAATTTTAACAGAAACAAGTGGAATAAAGTTTCATTTCATTTCTGTTGTAATTGTGGTTCATGCTGACATTCAGGGTAAAATAGTACAATGGTTTACCAGTTCCTTTTGCACCAAGCCACTGACCTCTGAGGCACAGCTCCTACACCAAGGCTGGTGACTGGCTGATGGCTGCTTGACACAGCTGGATTGGGAAGAGGCATTCCCCTTCACTGGTTAGGTTGGGAAACCCTTCTGACTACCCTTACATAGTTTAGCCAGCAGATCAATGCTGTCAACTAGAATGTGGCTGTCGCAGTTCCCTTGCGACTTCTTTGAGCCATCTGTGAGGGTTGGATATAGGCCGTGGACCAGTACAGTTCTGCATCCCAATTCACCTGAGTAAAGCAGGCTCAACTGCTTTGCTGCAAAGGTACTACCACCACTGACGATACACCCATAAACTTCATACTTTCCATCCTCTGTTAAAACACTTGCCAGATATTTAAACTTCCACACTTGTTTAATTCTGGTATCTCCAATTTGCAATTCAATCTTTGGTCTCATCCTTTTGCTAATAACCATGCATTCTGTCTTGCAGTTAATGTTTAATTCTATGTCATTCATTTAATAGTTATATATGCCCTGCTTGATACTAAATATTAACTTCAGAGATGGACTTAGAGGATAAAACCTTTTGGCCCCCATCAAAAAATGTCATAGCCTACTATTGTGCAAGTTCACAAGGTTAAGAAGAAATGAAAATCACTACAGTAACATAGGAATTTGATAATTTAACTGGTAAATTTTTTAAATTATTTACCAAAAGTTTGAACAATTATGCAATGAATATCATGAAGTAATCAGGATCTAATGCAATCTATTTTGAGAGAACAATCACATGTATAATTATTAATACTCATTTCAAAGCTGACAAAGGCAGCCCTTAATATCAATGTCTACTTTCTATTTATAAAATTTATATATTATTTGCAAATAAATTAAGAGAAACTACACAGAAATTAACCAAACTCCAATTACAGTTTAAATTTAAAGTTAGCTTTATTTGTACTTCTTCAAATTCCTTATCAACAGAAGTCTAGATTTTTGAACACAAATATTTACAAATTAGAAAAATTAATTTTTGTAATGAAGTGTGGAAATGTTCACGATGCAAAGGAAAAAGAAATGAAATGATTAATAATTTTTGCATAAAATAACTATACTGATGGAATAATTTTTGTTTTAAAAAAAAAAAAAATAATAAATAAATAAATGTGTCATTATTTGTTAGATCTCATTGTTATGCAGCAATAAATAATATTTTCATTTCTTTCCAGCTCTTTCAAATGTTGATATGATTTTCCTTTCAGGTTTTGCAACAGACAAAAGTTGAATCATTATTATTGGCAGGGAGTATTATTCAATCTGATTGTACAGTGTGATAAAGATATAAACTCTAAAGGAAATGGTAAATTAAATCCAGCTAGAACTGAAAAAAATAATGCAGGATAAATTCAATGCCATGAATTGTAGAATGTTGAAAATCTACTAAAAATGTTTTATGCAATCTCTTGAAATACACAATCTATACCTAACCAATATTTTATAAATACTTTTATGCCAAGATTGTTCCTATAATGATAATGAGGTCAGTTGTACAAACATGCCTCATTCCATAAAGCATAGTTGCAAAATAAGTAATGGAACCGGAATGATTTTAATTAGAGCCAGTAAAGATAATTTTTCATACCTTGTGCCCTCAGGACACAGGCAATCATGTTGACCACAGATTTCTTTATTACCTATGAATCACCAGAACTTCATGGGAAATATAGTGGAGTAGTTTCCTGTTACCTTCTCCAGTTTTGAATTCAGTTTTCCTTCTCTTAGTCTGGTTGCCACTCAAGACTAGAGAGCTCAGTTTACCCTACTATTTAACTCATAGTTAGGGGGGAGAGAATAGACAGATTCATGCCTTTCCCAAGGACATTAGTGTGAAAGTAAATACAACAGATTAACCTAGAATTTGAACTCTGCTCATGGAATCTACTTTCAGCATTTATAACTGTTATGTTCCCTGCATATACAGGCTCCAATTTCAACTTTAATATAAAATCTTGCAATATAACAACATGGTACCTCACCATATAGTAAAGTTTAGCAAATTAGTCTCATAGATCATTACTATTGTAATGAGTGATTTTTACTGGGTGTGTCATACTTGTACCATTGTATCTGTCTAAGCTTAGTGAATATCTTCAATATTAGGTTTGTTCAGAAAGTAACCAACTATTTACTATTGAAGAAAATATAGCCTACGTAAGTGTTTTAGTACACTTCAAAGTATTGAAAGTGCAAACACTTATCTTAGTGTCACTTCAAATTTGCAAAGTCGTCTTTTGAAATTACACATTTTCCATAATCTTGTCTACAACCTGAAATCTCATACTCTGAAAGCTCTAAGTTGCAGGGAGTCAAATCTGGATTGTAGCAGGGATGACACTCCTAGGTGATATGATGTTTTACCTGAGGCGTGAAGTACAATCAGGTTCAGTTACAATGAATGCAACAGTCCCACAGTACACAAGTTCAATGGCATTTAAATTCAAACATATGCAGTAAAGTCCTCTCTGATTGGTTACCAAGTTACATCAAGGCCACACAACCAGTTCTCAAGATATTAAAAATGGCTATATACTGTCCACACAGACCTAGTATATTTTTATATTAAGTTTGATATTTTTTTTTTCAATATTTGTGATTTTGCTGGATAAAAATCAAACATATTTGGACATTTCACCAAAATCTCAAACTCAAATATTACTACAAATTAATGTTTGCCTTTTACAGAAATTAAAATGAGACAATGAGTAAAGAGAAGACAAAGATCCCGTTACATAGTTGTAAGAGTCCTGGGATTCCAACGGAAATATTTGTTGCCGATTACTTCCACAATGCAGAGAACAAATCACTGTAAGTTCAGACTAATATCGGGGGCAGAAAGAAATGCCGAAATCTTGATTCGCAGGTACTATCTCACAAATCACAATGCATGTAACCAGTCAGAAAAATAGCTCACTCTCCGACGAATGCGGCAGCCAAAATACACAAATTTTATTTCTCTCTCTCGATTTGAGAACAACTGCTTTTATTGGCTGAGCATTTTTTTCCATTCATCGACAGCTGGGAGAGGACGCCCAATTTTAGCATATCAATATTCCCTCTTCAGCATGCCATGCGGAATACGTGCCTTTTTTTTTGGTAAGTAATTTTCTTTTTCGCCACATTTTCCGTCGTAGGATACATGCGACGGCCCCATTACTTGGTTTGATGAGATAATTCGCCATAATAATATTATATGCCAGTTAACCAAAAATAGTATCTAAATATCATACCTTTGCTCCAAAAACTTGAAGTGACAAAGCCTGGTAATTAGGTAGAAATGATTTCATGTAGATTGCCCATCTCCCAGGGTCACTAACTTTGTCTTTCAATGCTTTCATACCTTCTTCAGCCCACGATGCTGTTGTTTGAGTCTATAAGAGAATAAAAAGACTATCTATAGAAAAAAAAAGTTAGCAATGACTATGGGCTTCAGACAGATGTAGAAAAATTATTATATTATTATTCAAAAACAAATTGGCAGTAATAATTAAACATTGAGGAGAGAAAAAAAAGGACCGGGAGAAGAGAAAAAGGGACAGAAAGAACAGAAAGAGAGAGAAAAAGGGACAGAGAACAGAGAAAGAGAAAAAAAAGGGACAGAGAGAACAGAAACAGAGAAAGAGACAAAAAAAGAAACAGAGAGAACAGAGAAAGAGAAAAAAAAAAGGGACAGAGAGAACAGAAAGATTCATCATTTTAAAAATACTCATTTTTATCATTTCACTTTTGCTTACCTGCCACTGATAAACTCCTTCTGATGAATGAGAAGTGACTCTTCCTGAACTAGACACAGAAATGATGTCATATGTAGTTTTACCAGTGGGTAGACGATGTCCCATTAAGTGCTGAAGGATTCCTGTCTTTTTGGCAACACTGAAATTTTTAAAAAATCTATTTTGTACATGACAGTGATTGTATACCCATTTTTAAAAGGCGAAAGTGAAAAATTGCATATTATAGTCACATATATCAATTAATTTGAAAATAGAGATCTAAGAAGTATAATTAGAAATAAATTAGAAGTGAAAGATAAAATGAAATTCAAAGAAATCTAAAATTAAAACTGGAATTATCAAATGTTTCAAGATCATTTCTCTATTGTCAGTTTGGTGTATTTTTAAGAGGGATTGCATCCAAGTATTTCCCAGTTACATCATTTTTATTGGAATATATACAAGTATATTAGGAAAAATTGAAATTAAAACCAAGATTATTAATTATAAAATATTATTTGAGATTGCTTCATTTTTTTTTTTAAGTACAGGGTGTGTTTCTGCTGCACCCTGTATATCTTAATTTTATTACTTCCAATTTTAATTTTGGACTTTTCCCATATGTCTAAGAGCGGGCAAGTATTTTTTGTACTTTTCCCAATTTTTTTTTTATTGAAGAATATGTATTATTTCTAAAGAATTAATGGGTTTATTTTTAACCCAACATTTTTATTATTTCAAACATTATTTTTAGTGGATACTCATGTTTAACATAGACATCCCATTTTTTATCCTAAACAGTGTGTATTATGTTTTTCTGTCTGCACACTCAAGAAAACAATTTCCTAAAGCATGCCAGGTCAAATGGTGGTTTCTCATACAAAAGGGTATGCAGGTTCAAACACTGCTAGAGAGAACACAAGTTTTCTCAAGTTCCCAGGCCAATATATATATATATATATATATATATATATATATATATATATATATATATACACCAGGGTGTCTGCTTCAAACAAAGGTATCCACTAAAAATAACATTTGAAGTAATATGAATACATGTTAGTTGATTGGCTAATTTTGTTTAGCGGCACATCAACCTTTATAGGTTATTTAATGCCAAAATCTAAATAATTTGAACAATTTTATAGTTTCAACTAAATATATTTTGAATACAATTGTATGCCTTCAACTATAGATAAAATGTATTGTTGGTTATTTTTGCTTTAAAATGTATGGTTGGTCCTTTTTTTTTTATATAAAAATATATGGTATTTTTTACTATAAAAATCTATTCTTATACTTTCATAGTCTTGTTTGATGTTCACTATTTGCCCATAGCTGGGACCCTAACAGGTATTACCACCCTGGGTCAGGGTGAACCTGGGAACAACAGCAATTAAGAGGTAGTTCCATGCTCCTCAAAACCTCCAATGTCCTGATCAGAGGCCTTGTCGCTGAATGTAGTTTATAGTCATACTCAAGACGAATATGAATATATGTAAATATATTAAAATGGTGATTTCTCCTACAAAGGGGGACAAAAGTTCAAACACTGCCAGAGAAAACATCTTCATGAAGTTTTCTCAAGTGTTCAGGCCAATAGACATAATGCACACTGTTTAAAATAAAAAACAGTGCATCTACTTCAAACACAGGTATCCGCTAAAAATAATGTTGAAGTAATATAAATATATGTAAATATATTAAAATGCATTTTAATTTTACCTGAAAATTACAATTAAGTTAAAAATAAAATCACAAAGAATCAAATTAAAATCAATATAAAACTACCATTATTGTCAAATGTGTGCGACATTATGACATACCTCATGACAGTCCTTTAAGAGGTTAATACGAGATAATATGTTTAAGGGAACCATAAAAGCAGAATAAGTTTGATGAACATCAAAGATAAATGAAAGGAATGAATTTTAGTGCCAGAAAGATTTGTTTTGATATCTCATCTCTGTTCTTATATCTCAAAACCTTTGTCATTCCTTATATAAACAAACATGTTGAGCAAACTTGTTGAAATTTTGTTACACAGGTGTTCGGATCATAATCGCAAGTTCACCCCAGAGATCAGGAGGAAGCGTTCCCAGGAATGCATAGATGCATACACCAGCCACATAGAAAGGAGGTGCATGTTCTCTCTCAGTACAAATTTAATCCATCATCTTTTCATATGGTTTATTCCACTTCAAATTTACCTATATACTCATTGCAATAAACATTATATTTAGTGGATAAATGTGTTTGAATAGACATTCACAATTTTTAAATAATGAAATTGACTTCTACTGACCTGGGCAACCGAAATACTTATAAAAGAAAATATGTTTCTTAGCAGGATATCCATTATAACATTCATAGTAATAAAATATATTTTACAATATAAAAAAAATAATGTCAGATTTAAAAATCCATTAATCACTTAAAAAAAATTACTTACCTATACTAATATAAATAAATTGCAAGTTTCACTTTCAGTCACAATATCATAAGTGACATGAATAAGCATTAAACTAGTAATAAGTTCAAGTACACTTCTTATTAGTTAATCAAATATTGATAACCTACAAGTAGATATATTAAGGTAGACTTTTACTTTAACAAAAAAGTGTAAACAAAAAAGTGTAAACAAAAAAGTGTAAACAAAAAAAGTGTAAACAAAAAAGTGTAAACAAAAAAAGTGTAAACAAAAAAAGTGTAAACAAAAAAAGTGTAAACAAAAAAGTGTAAACAAAAAAAAAAAACAAAAGTGTAAAACAAAAAAAGTGTAAACAAAAAAGTGTAAACAAAAAAGTGTAAACAAAAAAGTGTAAACAAAAAAGTGTAAACAAAAAAGTGTAAACAAAAAAGTGAAGAAATATACACCAACCTCTTGACAACAAGCGGTGCCAGAAATCGGTTAGCATCTTCCTCATAGCTCCATGATCGTGACCAGAAGAGTCTTTTGGTGACACACACAGCAATCTGATTTATACTTTCTTTCTCCGGATATATCTTGTGGACGTCAACGTAGCAAGGATTCCGGCTACCAGCACCACCCGATCCAACCACTTCAATACTGGTATCCCCTTCAAAATCCACATAGGTGGCACTTTCAATGGGCAAAATAATTTTGGTGATAGGTCGGCCAGACATTAAGTTGAGGATCTCAATGCCAAACTGATTGTGAGTGACAATGGCATTAGGATCTGGGATGTGGTCATGCGGGTTGTGAGGTCGCTGCCCACCATGGGCATAACCAGTGAGGTGGTCAGATTCAAGAGCACTCCGTATTGGGTGGGGTCTTGAGTCTCCTTGCTCTCCAGGTTTGTCATCCAATTGTTTCTCAATACGTGCAGCACGAAATTTGGTATCCCGTAAATTACTCCATCGATGAGGCTGATATGAAAAAAAAAATAAATAAATAAAAATAATTAGAAAAACATCAATAGGAAGACAAAGCATGACAAACAAAAGTAGTTGGCAATATAAAAAGAAGAAAAAAAAAAACACAAAGATACTATAGAATAAGTTAACTGGTTACTGCTCCTCACTTGTCAGAACACAATCAAGGAAATTAAAATATTGTGCACAATGACTAAAAGAAGGGAACACAAGTGAGTAATGGCATATCAACTCTTGGGAGTTATTTAATGCCAAAACGGTTTTCCATTCCTTTTTTATTATAGTTCCTACTTACTATTCAATTTTTCCTCCCATGTCCTTGTTACAGTTCAATTTCTTTTGTTTGATTTTATTTTATAGTAGTTTGTAATAATGTAAATAATGTACATAATACCTCATCTCAGAAATATAGACAGACTCTAGTTTGTAGAGGTTTCATTCTTTCAAGAAACCTGTAATTTTGGCAGGGTTTATGTTTTTAAGGTTTGCAGCCTGATAATATTTATTGCATATTTTACTGTACTTTTGCATTCTATTAATGTTTTACCCTTAGTCTGATTGTAGTGGTTACATTTTGGCATTTCTTATCCTCTGAGCAGGTGTATGTGGGTTAATCTTCTACGTCCGATTCAGATTCAGGTCAGCACGGTTTCTTCTCTTTATTGACTTTTTTTATTTCTGAATTGACATTTGGCGTTCCTATAGTTCATTATGTATCCCATTCTGTTTTTCCAATCTTGCCTTATGATTTGTGATCCGAGGGAAACATGAGGAAGGAAAATACACATGTATCAATAACATAGTCACATTATAGAGAGATCATACTAAATCCTAACAACCTTTCCTAAAGATATGGTTGTCTTGATTTAATATAAATTGTCCAAGTTCTGAAAAGTGAGCAATAACTGGTGTTGTAACATACCTACAGACGATAATGGGTATGTCCCCATTCACATAAATACAGTAGTAAATACTTTATGTTGGTCTGCAGTTGGAGATTCATTGTGGAATTCACTTAACTCACTTCTAGCAGTTGACTACTACTTCTAAGTGCCACTGGCCAATCTTATATGTGTTGTTCTTGTCCTAAGTATTATCATTCATTACCAACCTTCATGTGATTATTCTATTCAGTAATCTTCCCTAGGTTACAACTGGTTAGCTCATTCTATAGTATTTTCAGGTTTCCTCTTTCTTTTTTCTTTCCATATTTCCAACTACTCTTGTCCCTTTTACTTTTGTTTGTTTTTATTGCATTAATTAAATTTTGTACCTCTAATAAGATCTTTAGGCAAATGCTGTGACTTGAACAATTATAAAGATTATAAACTATATCAAAAATAAATAACCAAATCAGCACTTCATGAAGAAGACCTGTATCATCTTTATACTCTTTCCTATATATCACTAACAAAGCATATATTCAATATGACAGTGTTCCAGGATACACAGGCCATATCCCAAAAGCAACAGAATAAATTGGCTGCAATTAAATTTTAGTATTAAATGGATTTCATTTTCCAAATTTTTAGAACATGACCTAAAATGTGTAAAAATATCCTCACCAAATATTTCATTATATTGGAGTGATAGTGGACCCAGGGCAACTCCCCAATATGCATCCCATCTTTTCTTAGGGCCAACTTCCAGTGGTGCTCAGTCTGAAAAAAAAAAAAAAAAAAAAAGTTCACAGATGTCACTTTATATGTACATGCACACACAAAACAATGTTCATGCAAACATTTTTGTATTATTGTATATTAAAACAAAATACAACACTGCTCTCTCATGTATATAACTTACTTCAATAGCAAGAATTCATTCAAACAAGTTTTATTAGAATCAACCAACAAGGTCTGTCTAATTTTCTATTTGTTTTTCCCATTTTTGTATAAGTTGTCACAATCCAGATCAAATTTATAGAGAGATTGTCCAAAGTCTATAATATTTTTCTTCAAGTACTTCCGACTCTCCAGTTATTATTAGGAACATTAATGTTATCAGCGCCATAAAGAAAAGTTTATATTAGCTTCATTTTTAAACATACTATAATTGTGATTCAAATATATATTGAGTACAAATGATGTTATGGACAGAATAGTTTATAAATATATGTAAGGAGCATACATATTTAAATTAAAAAAAAAAAAAAAAAATCAGTTCATTAAGGGGGGGGTCATAAAAATTGACAGTGCCTGAAGATGAAGATATTCAATTTCAAAAGTTTTTTAAACACATTTTAAAATGTCTTTTCTTGTGCTGGACAATACTGTGTTTAATGTGGGCGGTTTCTTTTGTATAATGATAGTTCTAAGCATTTTGAGTCTGACTTTTGGGTGAAAGTTAGTATGATCTACTAATATTTGTCTTATGTTAATAGTTA